CCCCCCCCCCCCTTCACTTTTCGCCCGGGGCCCGCGCCCCTGCTGCCCTCCCCGGTTGTTACGCCACTGCAGGGGCGACAGGCAATCGTGTATGCTAAGAGCGAGTTTCATAACAGTGCATATAACACGACAGTGATGCATCAAGTTAAACTGCCTAGTGGGATGCCAGGCGGCATGTCGACAGAGGACCATGACCATGGTGCCCATCTACTCCCCCACCTCCCCCCCAGTCCAAGGTGGGAGAGGGTTGGGGGAGGAATACCAGGCAGTGGGTCCCAGTAGCGCATGATCCCCTGCCCAATGCAATCGAGGAGGTGCCTAGAAATATCAACCGTAAGCATTGTTTGAGTGATAGTCAGAGAGAACGGATATCAAGGTTAAAACATAACATTAGCTGAAAAGCAATCTCACCCTGCCGACCTCACCGGTAGGGATAACATTAAGGGTGGTCACAGCATTAAGATTAGGCTAGACGCCTCACATCATTAAAGTTATGTCATAGTTTTGTATGTGAGCACCTCTGCGGTGCAATGATGGCGGAAGTCCCTCAAGGATGGCTCCACAGTCGCTCTGCAAAGGCGCTCAGTCAAGAACCAGATAGCACACACGGGAATGTAGCCACAGGTGGCCGGAGTCATGGTTCACTCCAGGTTGGGTCCCGGCTAGGCTCTCCTATCCGGACGTCTGCCCCCCCCCCGAGCGGGAGCCTGTGATGTACGAGGCGAGGTGCCTGCTGAGGAAAAAGGACCATGGGGGAAGTCGAGCCAGCTTGGGATTGCCACGGCATCCGTCTCCAGGAAAGTGAAAAGATCGGGGAGCTGCTCCAGGGTGTGGAGGACAAAAGAGGATCCATTCCGTTGGACGATGAGATGAAAGGGGTGACCCAAACGGTAAGTAGCACCCACCGCGTGAAGCAAATCCAGGAGAGGTTTCAGGATCCGTCTCATCCTCAATGTATGGCGGGAGAGGTCTGGCATCACTTGAATCTGTGCGCCATGAAACCGTGCCTTTGCTCCACGCAGCCCGCAGGATGGCTTCCTTGATCGTGAAAAAGTGCTGCAGTCTAATTACAAGTCATCTTGGCGACATCGCCGAGATCACTAGTAAAGAAACAAGCGGCTTCCCCCATTCTTCATTTAGCCCTGCTTGTGCAAAGCAGGGCTAAATGCAGAAAACAAATTACCGCCCGGCCCCCTGGACTCCATGTTCCGGGCATCGGGTGACTTCAAACGTGCCACCCCGAGGCTGGGCCTCGGTGGCCTTGCCGGGAATCCGGCCCTGGCTGCCACCAGACCTCACACAGCTCAACTGAGTGCAGGAAGCACGCAACCTAATGGAATTGCCTGCACAGCGCCCCCTGCTGGCCGGCTGACCGAAACAAAAATAAAGTAACTGAACACTAGAGCGCCGAGAATGAGGTAAACCAGCAAGCTTCGTCACTATGTATCGGGGCATTTTGACAAGTACTTGTCAAAATGCCCTGTATCGGTCCCTATATCGATGCTAGTACCCGTATCGGGACATCCCTAATTTAAAGAACAAATCCAGTTGAAAGTGACTAACTGCAACTAGCTATACCATGACCTGGATAAATGGGATCTTAGCAGACATAGGCCCCTTTTACACCTGTCCGGGATTCACTCAGACAGCCCTGGTTTTGAATGCGGTGTCCGGGTTTCATGGCAGCTGAAACCCGAACACATGTCAGGCAGACAGGGGCAACCAAAATTAAGATAGGGGCTACTGACCCCCCACTGGAATTGGTCTGGACTGATATTTACAAATGTATGGGTGGCGCTATTTACATATGAATAAGCCACGACTCATTCTTCCAAAAAAATGTCCATGTGTCGCTAGAGTGTTCGGGTTTCGCTGAAAGAAAAAGGTGGCAGCCCTAAGGCCTATGCAAATGACCGGACCCCACGTGGGTTTGTGGGGGAATGGATGTAAACTGACATGTGGCCATTTACATTAGATTACCCCCATCCAGCATGATCGGGTCCATTTACACCCAGCTGCCCAAAGACTAGCATTGGGCATCCGATCAGGTCTGCTTAAAAAAAATGACAGACGGACCCGATGGGATGGGCCGGTTGAAAGGGGCCTTAAAACAGAAAAATCAGGTCCTCTTTCCTGCCACACAGGAATGTGCTGTGTGGCAGAGCTGTGCAAATCGCAGGACTGGCTGGACAAAAATACAAATCATTTGTTAGGTAGAACAGTACACAGGCATGTGAGCTGTGTATTTAGCTGTTTGCCTGCAGTTCAGTGGAGCACTACATTTGTCATTGACTATGAGCTTACTGTACCTGCTGAAAAGGGAATGAATGCCTCTTTTTTCACAAACTTTCCTTCTGAATCCAGGAAGTGTTCTGGGTAGAACTGATGCGGCTTCTTCCAAATGGTGTCATCTTTTAAAACAGATGTTAGGTTGGGTATGATAGTGGTGCCCTAAAGTAAACAGAAAAGAAACCCATAATTACAAGTATGTTTTATTGAATTATTTATTACTTGAGCACGCACTACACACCCACGTCTGGGCTTGTGATCTCATGTTCCCAGCAGGGAACTTCAATTCCATGAAGATAATTTTTTCAGGTTGGTGTAACTAGTCAAACATGTCAGCTAGGTACAAGTTTAATTTGCATTACAAGACAGTAAAGAAAATGCCTGCTTTATATGAATAGGATAAAGCATTGTTACTCTTATCAAAGTAGTGCTTTTTCTACCTATTTAGGAAGCAAAGGGTTAACTGGGGTTTGGGATTAACCCCGATAACCCAATATAAAAAAAAAAAACACCATTGCTTTGTACTTCGTTAAAGGGTTGGTTTAGTACTCATCGGGTATAAGGGCCTTTGGAGCAGGGTGGTGAAATAACAGGTTTTGGTCTTTTGGGGGAGCATTTTTAACCACTTGCTGACCGGGGTGTTTACACTCCCTTCCCATCCAGGCCATTTTTCAGTATTAAGCGCTGCGGTACTTTGACTGACATTTATTCCGTCATGCAACACTGTATTGAAATGAATTTTATACCATTTTTGGGGGACAGATAGAGCTTTCTTTTGGTGGTATTTAATCACCACTTTGATTTTTATTTATTACTATATTAAGGAAAAATTACTGAAAATTATGTTAATTATTATTACCCAATTTTTTGGTCAAATATAAAAGACGGGGTCACGTCGGGTAAATAGACACCAAACATGTCAAGCCTTAAAATTGTGCGCACCCGCAAAAAAAAAAACTACCATACCCAAAAATGACCATAGGCAACGCTTTAAAAGTTTTTACCGCTCATTAATTTAGTGTTATCAGTGATTAATGGCCCTATAGTTATTGCTCTCACTGTGACGCTCAGTGATATGTAACATGTGCGCCGCAATCGTTATTTTCGCAAGTATGCGCACCCGACGCATGTTTGCACGCATTTATGTATGGGTGGGGACTTTAACATTTTTTGTGGTTTTTTTCCAAATTCTTTTTCATGTGTGACTTTAATTTTTTACCATGATATACCATGACCTGGATGAATGAGAACCTTTACAGACCTAATGCAGGGGTGGGCATTCAATTTTCTCATGGGGCCGCATGAGAAACTGGGACTGTTGTGGAGGGTCGAACCGATAAGTTAAACTTAATTCTGCTTAACATTAATTGTATCTCTTTATAAAAAGCAGTAAATCATATGGTTTTGATAATGTCTCCATTAGAATGCCCCTTTATATTATTGTCCTCACATGCTGTACCTTACTACTTTATTAGTAGGCCTGAGGCAGAAGCCAGGAGGTGGAGCAGGCTGCAGGAGAAGATGGAAGAAGATTCTCTTCCATCCTCCTGTAATGCTGTGGGCAGGAACACATTTGATGTCACTGGTTGCTAGGCCTGCCAGTGGTCCTAGCAACCAACGATTGAAGACGAGGGGGGCCTGCGTTGGGTTATGGCTGGCAGTAGATGCACCAGCCTCGAAAGGCTGGCACATCCACTGACAGACAGCCATAATCGAGAACAGATTGGCACACTCAGTCTGTACCGCAGGCAGGACAGGGAAAGCCAAAGTGCTGGGGGTGGCCCAGGGGCCTTAAAATACCCAGGTCTGGCCTAATGGAATTTGTTCTTTCACCACAAATGGAAGGCTGAAGTGTTGCTACCCCTGATCTAGATGATGTCTAAAAATATCTGCAGGAAACTCTGTTTTTATCAATAACAAGCAAGGCTCCCCTAAATGCGAAATCCCATAAGATGGAGCTGTCTATAATAGAAAAACAGGCAATACAATGTATCAAAATTTAATGAAAAAATAGAAAACAACATTAAACAAAATCGCATCAAAAAACCACCAACTGACAAAGACATTTAAAATCAATAAAAGGCAAGTCCTCCTTAGTATGGCCCGAGTGAAAAAAGGTGCAGTTGAAAATATATTTTGACCAAATAAATGGTCAAAAAACTAACTTTAAAGTACAAGCGCTGTATAGAAAAAGCAGATACATATGTATCAAATGGAGAGCTACTCACTGTACAGTGTATTTGGATGGTTAGGCAGTCCCTGCAGGAAGTAGTATTGAAGCTGTGTCCGCTGTGTCCACACGATCCAGACTCTGAAATCTGTTTCAATCAATTGTGGTGATGTGATCAAGATGGAAAGGTGCTGCAAGGTCTCCACACTGACATCCACCTGCAGGGTGATCCACAATCTATGTTGCTGGATGAGGTTTAAAGATTTTATTCCACACATGCAGGTGCACTTGAAGGCGCAGATAAAAGGAAATCCATGAGTCAGATATCACTTGCGTGGCAGGTTGAAAATCTGTCAGTGTTGTCACAGCCGGTATATTAAACACATCGCCGGCTGGGGATCTATCCGTGGGTTCACACAGCAGGCTCTCACAGCGAGTAAATATCCTCCAATAGACAATTGGACGCAGGTTTCCGAGTCCACCACTTCTATGTTGTAGCTTGATTTGCTTATAGTGAGAAAACTTCAAAAAGGACTTCAAACAGCCAGCGCTGCCAAGGAGGTAAATCGTGGGCATACAAGGAGGACTGGATACACGTTATCCCTAACGCGTTTCCCCCCTATACACACAGGGGCTTCTTCAGAGGGACTCTGTTTTTACATTTAATTACTTTGACAAATTATTTGGTTTATATTCTGTACAATTTTTGAACAAAACAGAACATTGATGTGAACTAAAAAGTGTATATAGAGTTCAATGGGAAAATCTGCCAACTTTTCTAATCATTAAAACGCCTTGTTCTACTGCTGAGTACCATGGCTGGAATGTATCACAATATACTAGCTACATGCTCCACCTTCTCTTTCACATGTCCTCAGTCCTTACCTTGGGGATTTGAAAACCTTGGATGTTGGTGTCTTTGTATGTCATATGGAGCAAAGCCATAGGCAAGATATTTCCATAGCGCTGAACCTCATGGATGACAGCATTGGTATATGGCATATTGGCCTGGTCTTCCATAGTGGGTAACCTATCCCGTCCAATTACACGGTCAATTTCTTTATGAACTTTCTCTGTGTCAAAAGGAAATGACATATTAATAGCATTTATATTTGCCTCCTTAAAGCAGATCTAAACACTTAAAACTAAATTCAAAATATTGCAGCCTTCCAGTCCATACATGAGGTGGCTGCATTTCTCTTTTTCAGGCTAAGAACATTTTCAAGTTCAGAAAATACTTGCTGATCTACCCCCACACTGCAAGGGTTAAGTGCTTGTTTTGGTCTAGGGTCTAAAATAACAAAGCAATACTTACCCGAATCCTGGTCCTGTCTGACTGCTAGACCAGTCCCTGCAGCCTCTCTCCCCCTCCGCTACACTATATTAGATATGATGACCCACAGGTCATTAGACCACCGGAGCGGAGGGGGAGAATGGCTGCAGGGACCAAACCCAGGCAGGATAAAGTTTGGATGAGTATTTTCTTCTTATTTTACACCCTAGGCCAAAACAAGCACTTAACCCTTGCAGTGTGGAGGTAACATGCAGTTTGGTTTAGGTAACTTAAGACACTAACTACTTACCCTGGATGTGAGGGTGGTGCAGCATCATTAAGAGAGACCAGCGTAATGTGTTAGAGGTTGTATCTGTGCCAGCTACAAAGAGATCCGCCATGACGTACAGAAGAGTCCTATCAGTGAATGTACTGTTGGGATTGTTTTTATTCTGGCCATAAAAAGAACATACAAAAATAATGCATGAATAGTGATTTCTATTATTCTAATATTTTTCAGATATTTATATTTCATTAAACAAATATCTTCTGTTTTGTACATATAGATTTAAGTAGAGAGCTGCGCGAGATGATGGTTACCTTTCCTGTCCGATTTTATCAAATCACCATTCTGCATCAGACCACAGCAGCCACATGCTCCCTGATCTCAGTGAAAATCTTGTTGGATAACTTTGGGTGATTGTTTCCCTTGAGACATCCCATTCCCAGAGGCTGTGCTCCACCCATGGTTAGAGGCATCTGGTGTACCTGTTTATGAAGCTGTCATACACAATTGTCAGCCTCCCTCTATTGTCTGTGACCTGTTTTTGGAGGTACTTAAAGGTGACTACTGATCCCTAATCTGGTCTGGTCATCCCCCTTAAACATGAATGAAACATTACACTCAAACAGGATTTTTAAGGCGTAGAAGATCTACCTAATATTGCCTAATATTGAGTAGGTCCCCCCTGTGTCACCAAAACAGCCCTGATCCGTCAAGGCATGGACAACTCTGAAGATATGCTGTGGTATTTGGCACCAAGCCATCAGTAGCAGATCCTTTGAGTCCTGTAACTTGCAAGGTGGGGCCTCCTCCACTCCATATGTGCATCATTAATCCTTGGCCTCCCATGACCCTATAGCTGGTTGACTGTTTTTCCTTCCTTGGACCACTTTTGCTTGGTCCTGACCACTGCACTCTGGGAACATCCTACAAGAGCTGCAGTTTTGGAGTTGCTTTGATCCAGTAGTCTAGCCATCACAATTTAGCCAAAGTCTCTCAAATCCTCCAGCTTACCCATTTTGTCTGCTTTCAATACATCAACTTCAGGGAAAGAATGTTCATGTGCTGCCTAATATATCCCACCACTTCCAGATGCCATTGTAATGAGATAATCAATGTTATTCACGTCAACTGTCAGTGTTCATAATCTTATGGCTGATTGGTGTACAAAAATATAATTTGTTATGCATTTATCTTAGCAAAACAGTTATAAGAAACCTTTTCCTTAAGACATTTTTACATACAAAATGTATAAAAAATAAACATCACACTGTACACAGGTCCATGTGTAAACTCAAAGCAATTTCCAAAACATAGCTTGTATAGTCTGTCACAGTATAAACTCATTCCAGAACATGCTGATGATTTAATGATATTCTGATATTTTTAGAGATTACTACTCTTCTACTACTGGTTATCAGCATATTCTGGAATGAGATGACACAGAATATAGAAACTGTATAGTGGAAATTGTATTGGGTGTGCATATGGACTTGTGTACAGTGTGTTGTACCATCTTTTAAAAGTTCATGTGTAAAAATGTCTTTTAAAAAAAAAATGTTTTAACCAATTTTTTTAAGATGAAATTATATAGAAATATCATTTTTATTCATTTAACACACTAAATATCTTGTTTGAGTGTAACATGTTTCCTTGATTTTATAGCGATAGCCGCATCCTTGCTAAGATGTGTCCATTGGCTTTAATTGAAGATTTGATTCCATTGTTTAATGGGTTTTCCTTTTACCTTATCATAATCTGCCAAAGCATTAAGCGTGCTAAATTAAAATATAGTAGAAGAACCCTTTTTACTTTTTCCATCTCTTCATAAAAAGGCATCAATAAAATCTCTCCTGATGCTGGGATCCCAGGTGTCTTTGTGTTTCTGGATGATGTCTTCTAAGAAGGCTAGATAAGTGCGCACAACTTGGAATTGCCTTTGATGGGGTCCAGGCACCTTCATCAGCCAAGGGAAGAGTTTGTAGAACTAGAGAAGAAAAAAATTCAACAAACTTTTACTCATTGGTCGTTGTTCTTGAGGCTTATGTGTTGGTGCATTACATTTATTTTTAAATGTGTATTTTATTTAAACAAAGAAAAATAATTTTTGTATTGAAATTATCTGTGTTTCTAGCTAAAAATGATGTATGTATTTTATTGTATTAATGCACTTGTAACAATACAGTTGAGTATTGTGCAGCTTACTTTTTTATTTAAAGAGCAAATTTTTCAGAGCTAGCTTTTTGTGGCTTCTTGGGTTGTATGATGTAACAGTCTACCTACATAGGTTCCACCTCACTGCTCTATTGGGGAGGGGGGTATAAGGAGGGGGTAGAGTCCACATCTTCCACCATCAAAGGCATTAATGGAAGAATACTCTTTTTCTCCATTTACGTTATGTGTTAACCTTTATAAAGGCATGATCACATTGTCAGCCCGTGAATAATTTAATAAAGCTGATTGGATATCTGCTGCTTTATTAATAAAACAAGCTAGGCTAGCCATACACAAGTTTGCTTGACTTTCTAATGGTTAACGTGGTCAAATTGATGATTGTTTTCAACCATAGTGCTAAAATAAATCGAAGGAGCAGGATGGAATGAACCAAATTCTAACAGTGAATGTGGTTTTTGTTCTGAAATCTCTAGAATTCATTTCAAAATCGAAAGTTAAAGAACGCTAGTCAAATAAAATCTTAATCCTTGTGGTGGGGCTACCCCCGCACTGCAAGAGTTGAGTGCTGGTTTTGCCTAGGGAGCAAAAATAACAGTTATATTCACAGAACCATTCCAGCGGTTTCAGGTCCTGTGGAGTGGGATACAGGTGGCAGGGACCGGTCTAGGAGCCAGCTGGGATTGCGGTTCAGGAGAGTATGTCTCAGTTATTTTAGTCGCCTAGGCAAAACAAGCATTTAACCCTTGCATTGCAGGGGTAGCCTCACTGCAAGGGTTAAGATTGTATTTGCCCAGCGTTCTTCTTTAAAACCAAATGAAATTCCAAATTACATTTATCAAGTCTCTGATGGCATTCGGTTCTGACAAGATTTTTCACATGAACGTTCATACGATAATACCACTGTATGGCCAGCTTTACACATGTCAGAGATGCAGTCAGTAGGGATGCAGCTAATGACTATTTTCATAATCGATTAATTGGCCGATTATTTTTTCCAATATTCGAATAATCGGATAAAGTTAAATACATACATTCTTAATTTAAAATACAATACACAAATGCAGTGTTACAAAGTTTACTTCAGAATAAAACTGCAGGCACAACTTTTTGCAATCGCACTGCATTGGAACACGTGCCATTGTGGTACCGTACGTTCCAGTGTAGGCGATCACACTGTGGATGGTAGGCGCATTTGGGGTGCCTTTAATATGAATGGCACCTCCCGCAGCAGAATTTGTCAGCCCGAAACTAAACATGACTTTCTTCCCACCTTTTATATTTAAAAAAAAATAATAGTGTAAGGACATGGCGCTTGAATAGCTTCAGCCAGGGAATGACAGCTGCCAGTGTCAAGATTCCACAGACGGCAGCTGAATGTAAATACACCAGCAGTGGGTGTGTGCAATAGCCAGCCTGCTATTGGCCATTCCAAATTAGAATAGTCAATAGCAAGCTGGCTATAGCACCCACCCACTTCTTGCCCCCAGTGTGGAGGTGAGAGCGAGGGGATCCAATCAACTAATCGATAATGAGAATAGTTGACAACTATTCTCATTATTAAATTAATCAATTAGTTGGTTGCAGCCCTAGAAGACAGTAACCAGTTGGCTCATTAACATTCACATTTATCACAGAAATGCAGACACAGACAGTATACAAATGACTACCTGAGTAATAGGTTTCGATCCCAGTTCAAATGATTCTCTTAGCAAGTTGATCATCTTCTGGAACAATAAGTCGCTATAATCAAATCTGTCTCCAAAAATTACGGAGCAGATTACATTGCTGACTGCATTGTTGATTATGAAGTATGGGTCAAACGGATGCCCTGAAGATATAATAACCAAGAATATAATAGCATTATTTTTCTTTGCTCAGTTTGATTTTTAAAAACCAAACTGAGCAACTAATAAAAATTAAAGTGAAGCAAGGATAAAAGTTTGTTCATATTAATCAGATTCTAGATTTTAATTTGCTAATACAAGCCTGTTCTGCCATTGTTACATTACAGAAAGAAAGGGCTGCAGGCTTGTTCACACCTAAGCGTTTGTTGAAGTGCTTAGAATGTGCACCCAAACTGTAACCCAGTAGGCTCAGTTAACTATTCTCTAAAACATGTGCTATTTGCCATAATCAGCATTATTTTCAGCCATGTGACTGTTATTACCCACTGTTTTGGCTGTCAATGCTGAAAATAGCTGTTATGGTAAATGCTGATTATTATGCTCTATTGCAGCCTGCATAAAGACATTTAGCTCCATTGTATGTTCTACTGCACTATTCTTACTACCTGCAGTATTCAGCATTTGGTCACATTTCTCATTAGGTGTATTGTTGTTCTAACGCTATTGTTAAATGATTTAGATATTTTTTCATACTATAATTAAAGCATGCACCTGTGCCTCTGCATGGCGGGATTACGAGACCATAGTAAAGTCTCTCTATTGTCCCCATCCATATCTCCTTAAACTACTGGATTATCTCGGGTTAGGCAGGTAGCCAGTGGAGGTCCATGTAATGATCCGTGCAAACTCTGCGGGAGGGATAGGATCACAACTGCGGAGGTAAGCGTAAATGGCTCAGTTGAAGGGTTCACTGTCACACTTTAGTGTAGTGAGTGAAGTCGGAACCCCTTACACATCATATACCATTTGGTTGTAGGAGGAATTAAATGGCAGCGGTGAATTCCCACAACCCTCAATTCTACAGCATTGGGGCCTGTTGGGAATTGTAGTTCTCTCCCCAAGTTTACTTCACTAGGGAGGTCAAAGAGACAGTAACTCTATTGCATTTATGACAGTCCAGAGAAGAGGGTAAGGCAGTTTTTTAGATAAGAGAGTTTAGTTGAATTCACTACCCCTAACCTTGATGTCAGTAGGTGCAAACAACTCGGCAATTGATTACAGCATGTCGTAATGGCTACTTGCTGTTAGGTGGAAAGTCCATTCACAGGATGGGAGGCTGCATCCAGGCTGCCAGAAATCCAAGGGGTAGATGTGTAGGTCCAAGAGGGGTTAGCAGGATAGCCAGAGACCGGTGCAGTTTAGGTTCCTAAGTAGCTTGCTCGACGTACTACTTTGCTAGAACGTCGAGCAAGTGAAAGCCTACGGTTTAAATAGGCAGAGCAGGTGATTGGGGGGGCGGAGCCGGAGACGAGACCCGACCCGAGCGTCTCCTAGCAACGGGACGCCGCTGGGCCGGGCTCGCCGCGTCATCACGCCGACTCAGCTGTTCGGCAGAAGGAGGAGTGGAGCGCGGAGGAACGCCCGCCCGTCGCCCGGCAACAGGACGCTGTTGACGGGGCCGTCCCTGCCATGTTCTTGGGCTACGGAGCGGGGTCCGATCCTGACAGTCCATGTGGTGCTTCAATGTCCCCAGCAAATCGCTGGCAGTAGCCAGATCAGCATGGGTGAGGGCCGCCTTAGATAATCAGTAGAATCCAGTAGGAACCAGTAGCACATGGTAGGCCCAGCGGGTCCCAGTCAGGAGCCGAGCACCCAGTAACAGGTAACAACCTGCAGGCAACAGAACATATTGACTCTCTAGCAGCATGCTTCGGAGTTGTGTTACATCCAGGTCCGACCAATGACAACAAGCTCATCAGTGTTTGTTAACCAACAAACATCCAGGCTAACCCTAATGTATCCCTAACACAGCACTCTGGAGTTCAACAGAGTCTGGCAGATGAAACATCATTGATGGCCATTGCGTACACCTTACTGGTGGAAAAGGAAGTGTGAAACCCATCACTACATTTTATCCCATACATCTACTCATCAATCCTAAAACTGCACATTTCTTAAAGTATTTAACTCTAAAGTATGAATAAGCCTTGCAGAATGTCACTTTATTACCAACATACCCCTTTTGCATTGCAACCTGTTATAAAAAGAATTCACATTGCTACCTGAAAAAAAAAAGGATATTGTATAACAGCATTTATCATGTTGTCTTACCTTCTTCATCTTGAAAAGCAGAGCAGAGGTAGCCAGCCTCCTCCCGTACTCGCTCTTCAATAGATTTTTTCCCCATTCCAAAATTTCTCAAAGTATAAAGTGCGAATCGTCGTTGTTCTTTCCACTGCTGACCATATCTGCTGAATGCTATGCCTACATCATGAAGAACCAGGATTACCGACATATAAAAAAGAGGAAATTAAACTAATACTGATTTTACCAATTCTAATACACTAACTGCACTGTATGATGTCTCCTTCAAGTAGTGGCTTGTCCTGCCATTGACATCCACCTATTGCAGCTTTCTGAGATGTCCTTCCTTCTGGAGGGTGGCAATTTTGTTCCCCATGGTCCCTGTTTGTGTTGGAAAGTAGCCACTGCTCCAAGCTCACTCCCATAATGGACTACAAACTCATGTTTGGTTTACTAATTTGTTTTGAGATTGTAGTCCATCACGGGAGTGAGCTTGGAGCTTGGCTACTTTACAACACACACAGGGACCATGGAATACAAAAGTAGCCACCCTCCAGAAGGAAGGACATTGTCAGCACCAATTCAGAGATGATTTCATGGATCTACAGCTGAGTGACAAATAGAGTACAGTGAGTACACAATTAAGATACATTTTTTGTTAATAGTTAGGATACTTGTGTGCATTTTTAAGATTTAACTCCCGAGCTTAGAGTCACTTTAATAGCGAGCTCTGGGAAAGCAATTTCTAACCTGGCCAACAACATGGTATTCTGCTACAAACTACATGGATAAAAATGTATTAGCTACTATTTCAGTGGTGGATTACTTTTACAGTAATAGGGTTACTTTAAAATGTACAGTATGTACATTTTGTGGCTATAGTATAGCCACTAGTTTTTTAGTTTTGGATACAGTAGGGAAGGGTTTAGGTAATTTTTAAGGGTGCCATGGCTCCAAGGGTCTGGTATAGATTTTAGGGGGAAGCACATTTTTTACATTTATGTTCTTTTTACATTTTAGACTAGGATACGTCAAGACTATATCAGGTTAGGCAGGTAGCCAGTGTCATGACTGAGTGTCATTACTTAAAAAAGGTTGAGAAATGCAGTTTAAAGTGGCTATCCACAGCCAGTTCTGTTATAGGTTTAAACAGCTGAAAGTCACGTTTCAGAAAACGTCAGTTTACAGCAGTCAAAGAATCAACATAACTTCTGGTTGGTAGCTTTGGGTCACTGCCCTAGTCATATTAATCCCCATTAGGCCACATGCACATGGCCATAAATAATGCACAATGCAGAGCAATTATCGTTAGGGTTCAGAATGCATGTGTATCATTTTCAATCGTGGCATGCACACAAGTAAATATGCACTGCATTCAGAAACATAACACAAAATCTAAAATTCTGCGTACAAACACATACGCATATAGTGAAGTCCAAACATAGAAAACAGAGCAGGAGAACAGAATTAGAATTTTATGAATGCATATTTATGCATCAAAATGCATATAAATGCAAGCATTTTACTGATCACTTACGTCGGAACTTTTTGATCAGAAAAAAAACATACGTATATGATCAGTCATTTTTTTAACGGCCATGTGCATGTAGCCTTACAGTTACCATTATGCAACGCCTTGGTGTGTTGACAGTTCAATGCTGACAGCATAAAGTAGAACCATTACAGTGATGTCACATGGAAATATTGGTGCAGTGAGGTATTCTGGCACAACAATATTACTGATGTCATCTCATTGTGTGACTCAGAAACATGATTCTCTGTTAGTGAAAGTATGGCGTAATGTTTATTTCCACCTGTATAAAGGTCATTGTATACCTTGTGAGATTTAGCTTTCAATGGTAGCACATTAATGACGGAGTCCACTCGCTTACCACGTCTTTTAAAGGGCCTCTTTGCCCACTTTTATTAGAACCAACATAAAAGTCCACACCGTTGTTTCCCTCGCAGGGGTCTTCAAACACATTACAGCAAATAATGTTTGTCCAAGTCTCACCGACTCCAGGTTGTCACACATACTCCATTTGTAAACGGCTCTCTCAGCCTCCTCGGCTGTCTTCCCGTGCCTCTAGCACACACAGCCACCTGGCTCCCCTCTGCCTTCTGGGTGGAGTCCTCCTGACTCCTGAACATCCCTGTTCCTCTTCCCAGCTGGAGCCCAGAACACTAGCCCGCACACTTCCCATAAGTGCAGTGCACAGGTGTGCAATCAGGTGCTGGCCACTACTAAACAATGGACCCAGGAATGGAGATTTCATCCCTCCCAATTCTGTTAGAAATCTCCCAGTTCCAGGATCCCATGCCAAATCCTGAAATCCTGGGAAGAGCTGCAAAGTCAGTTCTTTCCCAGTACAGGAACTTGCCTCCTGGAACTGCTCATCCCCTCTGGCTGAGAGTCCTGGGTGTCTGCGTTGCCAGCATCTTGCATGGCAGTGCGACGCACAGCCACAACCTGTTAGTCAATACCTCTGGCTGGGCAGTAGACCATATGAAGCACATATACACAGGTCAAAAGAAAGGCTGGTGGACATTATCATCCATACTTATAATAGTTACTAATCATCTATAAAAAATTGCAGACATCAGTGAGAAGACTTCTGTGTGATTTGATTGGTATTTGGTAAAGACTCTTTTCCCAGACCAACCATTTGTACTATGCTACCCCCATAACCACAGATCTCTAGGGTACCACAGTACTATACAATTTGGTGAAAATAAATCAATGTAATCTTAATCTAGTTACTTTCTCTTTCATTATAGTTTTATCCCGTTTGGCTATAAGGAAAGAAATACAAAAATATTACTTAACATGATGCTGCTCGCCAACCATTTAAATTTTGCTCTCATAGGCCAATATCTATGCACCCTTTTAGGCAACTTAAATTAAGTAGTGGAGGCCAGGCTTGTTAGAGGGAATCTGTTAATGTGCATAGGTACATACAGGAGGCAAGGTTAGGCTTTTGTTTTGTTTCCATTCACTTCCTGTCCTAGAGAAACAACAGGAAGTTGTAGGAAATCTCCCCAAACATGTTCTTTCACATTTTGTTCCTGTGACATCACTAATATTTTGGATATCCCATCACTTTAAGACGATGGTTACTAGGATAAGAGGAACAGATTAATCTACCCATCATGGACACAAACAGCAATAAAAAAAATCACAAGATGCACTGTTGCCCTTCTGTTGTCTTACACCAGTCTTGCCACTCTCCGTTCTGCCCTAACATTGACTAGTCGCTGACGGCCACAATTCGCACGTTCAGACCCAGATTCTCGGCTGGCAGTTCAATCTTTAAACACTTTAACAACTGCTGCTCTCGAACCTTTAACAAATTCTGCTGTTTTGCTGTTACTCGCTCCATGGCTCCGAGCGCCAACAATCATCCCACGTTCAAAGGCTGTTAAATCGCGTTGTGTACCCATATCTTCAGAAAAAAATTACTTCTACTGTCGTGGTAAACAACCTGCTTCCCTATTTATATTGGTCTGGCCCTCTAGCAACTTCAGCACGAAATTATAGCTAATTTGCCTACAAACGTCAGGTGGTCATAATAATCTGGCCACATACGCCCACACACACACATACATACACATATACATATACACACACACACTTTAAGATGCTATTGTGTAGCCAGGTTTCTTCACATTTCTGCAACCGTCAGCTTACAGCACTCAGACAATCCAACATAATTTCTGAATGGTAACTGCCGGTCACTGCACTTTGTATATTATATCTTATTACACTTGTCATTATACTTTATTGATAGGGTAAGAAAAGTAGTGTGTCATTCTAGGATAGTCCACGCTTGCTTGCTATAGCCAGGTGCTCGTTCTGCTCGTTTGCTGAGAGCCACTATAATTACATGACCGTACACCAGCTATGTCTGAACTCTTTCTTTATTCTTTCATAAAAGGCATAAAGATAGCAAAAGATAAACTGGGACACACGCTGTAACAAATCTGCAATGCAAGCCTAGGATCTCAACTGCGGAGTGTGTACCTCACGGTCTGTTCAGTAAGGGGTCTCGGCTTTTACTCTCTCATCATATTAGAGAAGTATGTGAGACCTGTCACATCATTCAGAACCGTGGTATCAAAAGTTGTAGTTACTAGAGGTGACAGGGTTAACTGTGAGGCAGACACCCGGTGGTGAAGTATGGTACTGAGCACTATTGCTTAATCCACTATTCCCCACTAGGGTAATTGAATCAATTCACAGATGATATATGGAAACAAGTACTAGTGCAATTTGTATATAAGGTTTTGCCTCAGAGAGTCCAGTTCTAACATAGAACAACACTACTTGGTGATAGTAAATGATCTACAGGCAATATTCACACAGTTGCTTATATACGATTTGACTAATCCAGTTTAAGCAATTGCACACATTATGGGTAATGGGAGAGTAGTCCCAGATACTTGCGGTTGTGAAGCTTGCTGCTGCTGGCACTCCTAGTGGGTGTTTGGCTGAGTGATGCTTGGCTCCCGGGTGTCAGTCCCCCTGTGTTGGGTGGTAGAGGATTCGGGGCTCCTTCAATGTGGTGTAATAGCTTGCTGCTAGGGGTCCGTCTAATCGGTCTGCGGTTGCAGAGCGTGAATCTTCGGCGTTCACTGTTGCAAACAGTAGGGCGCCGAAGATTCGTGTGGCCGCGTCTTAAGAGGGCTCCTGCGCTTGCGCCAGGAGGAGCCACGAGCCGACGTGCGCGTGCGCTGAGAGAGGCAGCCCTGGCCCGTTGTGCGCATGCGCGGTCCCGTATCGTGATTCCGGGACGGTGAGTCTCTTACACACGCTGACGCATTTTACACAGAGGCACTTAGTGATAGTGATATGAGTGAAAAGCGTCAGCTTCATCTCTTGTGGTATGCTTTTCTGAAAGACAAAAGAAAGCACTTGGACATAAGGGATGTGTGGTCATCCAATTTTCTTGTATAGACACTTTATTTATGTCTTTGCTTGTTTAATAAAGACTTTGGTGTTTCTATCGAAATACAGTTTAATACTGATGGCATAAACTAGTGATATGGCAAGAAATGTTTGTGCAGTGATGTAGTACTCTGGTACTTTAAAGAAAACAGATATCATCTTATAGTGTGACTCAGCAACATGATTTTTCTGTTTGCGAATGCATGATGTAATGTTTATTGCCGTTGGTGCAAAGTCCAGCATGCAGTAAATTCTCTGTCTGGGGAACATATAAGCTGTCACATTATGAAGCACGTTTGCACGGTAATTGAAGAAAGGAAATCAGAAACATGAATTGATACTGCTAATAATTAATAACCACATATCTAGAGAAAGATTAAGTACAACAACTATGACAGGGTTACTTACGAGTGTATGTAAACCATAACAGTTAATTTCTATAACCTCACTTTTGGTCTGTTAAAGGCTACCTCAGGGCAAAAAAAAAAGTACCAGTAGCCACCCTCGAACTGCAAGGGTTAGGTGCTGATGTTTGTCTAGAGGCTGGAGTAAAGCAGATTCACCTACCTGAACCCTGCTCCCCCAGCAATCTGTGTTCTCCTCTCCTCCCCCTCTGCTCCCACTTGGTGAACTGTCACTTGGTGTCCACATATATTATGCAGGTATTTGGACAAAGATTTACACAAAATTTATTGGAAACAAAAAAAAAAAAAAGAAGGGGGGCATCTAATGGAAAAGTAAAGGGACTCTAATGGAAAAGACTTTAATGTGAACTCCATGGTCATCTTATTTTTTCATTTTTTTTTGTTTGCATGGCATACCCCCTTAAAATGCATATCAGTCCCCTGTCCAAGATAAAGGTCTGGTGTAGATTTTGGGGGGAAGCACACATCATTTTTTACATTTACCTTTTTTATATTTTTTATTCTAGGATGTCTCAAGGTTTTTCCTTCTTTTAAAGGGTGCCATGACTTAAAATAGGTTGAGAAATGCAGTTTAAAGTGGTCATTCACAGTGAGTTCTGTTGTAGGTTTGAACAACTGAAAGTCACATTTCAGAAAATGTCAGTTTACAGCAGTCAAAGAATCAACATAACTTCTGGTTGGTAGCTATGGGTCACTGCCCTATTCATATAAATCCCTATTAGGCCATATGCACATTTTAGGCCAAACATTTTAGGCCAGAAAAAAAACAAACATACGTATATGTTCAGTAATTCTTGTTACGCCCCTGTGCATGTAGCCTTACAGTTACCATTACACCTCGCCTTGGTGTGTTGACAGTTCAATGCTGACGATATAAAGAAGAACCATTACAGTGATGTCACATCGAAATATTTGTGCAGTGAGGTATTCTGCTACAACAATATTACTGATGTCATCTCATTCTGTGACTCAGAAACATGATTCTCCGTTAGTGAAAGCATGACATAATGTTTATTTCCACCTGTTTAAAGGTCATTGTATACCTGTAAAACTGGCCATACACCTATAGATTATCTGCAGATTTTCTAAGGTCAGATGGAAAAAGTGCAACAGATTCCTCCATCTACGCTAAAGTGTGTGGAGGAATGTCCGCTGGGCCAAGCTTCAGTATCTTGCTAGTTGGCCCCGCTGGCTCTCAAAATACCTGAACATTCTGATTGGATGCAGGCATTGTTTGGGTATTCTGAGTCCCCCCCATCAACTGGCCGATTTTTGTACAAAAAAAACATTTGTACGGAAATCGAATGATAATCGCAAGGTGTATGGGCACCTTTAGTCAATACCTCTGGCTGGGCAGGAGCCCATATGAAGCACATATACACAGGTCAAAAAGAAGGCAAGTGGAAATTATCATTCATACTTATAATAGTTATGGTACTAAACTAGTGATCTTTTAAAAAAAATAGATAGAATCACACTTGTGTGTGATTTGATTAGTATTCTGTAAAGACTATTTCCCCAGATAGACCATTTTTACTCTGCTACCCCCATCCACAGATCTCTAGGTTCCCACAGTACTATACAATGTGTTGAAAATAAATCAGGGTAATCTTAACCTATTTACTTTCTCATTCGTTATAGTTCTATTACTTTAGGCTAGAAGGAAAGAAATATAACAAGATTACTATACAAGATGCAGCTCGCCAACTTTTGAAATTTTGCTGTCATATGCCAAGCTCTATGCACCCTTTTACGCAAGTTTTTGGCCCGCAGACAACTTACATGAAGTACTGGAGGCCAGGCTTGTTAGAGAGAATCTGTGAATTTGTATAGCTACATACAGGATGCAAGTCAGAAAATGTTTCCTAGTGCAGTAGTTTGTGCCGGCAATTGAACCAAGTGTTGTGACTTTATTGACTGCATATTTATCCTAGGTTAGAGATTTAGAAAGCATCAAAGTCACTGGACCAGGCAACCTACATTTTTATGAGGCCAGCAATGGCAGCCTTTATATTACTCTCAGTAAAGATTTTTAAAAGAATGGTGGGTCCATTACATCGATGTGTGCCCCTCGCCCCCTCCCCAATGTAGCTGGACTCCCTCCTCCCACTTAAGTTTACCATTTATTACCATTATTAAGTCCGACATGTTCAAACATGGGTATAGAAGGCCGGTCTGAAGTGTCTTCCGATTTTGTGACCAGCGCCTCTTTTACGGCATCATATCCATTTACTACAACAGTATTTTCAAAGAATATGTTGAGGCTAAATACGTCTCCATACTGTGTCCTCAGCTGAAAAAAGAAAAAAATATTTCATACATGAAATGTAACACTGAAAAGTTTAGGTTGTTATAGAGCAGCAATGAAAAAGTCTCCATTCTCTTTAGTTTTCCATTAAAAAAAACCTTATGGATTTGTTATGATATGTAAAGGGAGGATATCAGTTGAAGTGTGCCTATGTCCATACTGAGCACTGCAATGGTAATTTGTACAATGTTAAGTACAACGGAGCTCAGCAATCAGTCTATTTTTCATTTCACTCTTCTTTTGCAAGTAGTCTGCCCTGGTTTCTTCATATTAAAGGAGAACTATGAGGTGAGTGCTTTTCACTCACCTCATAGTTCTAGCCGACCTGTGACAATGAGACTGTCACAGGTCGGCTCAGTAGATCGGGAGGTGAGCTCACCTCTCGATCATGTCACGGCTTTCGGCCGTGACAGGGGAGGGGCTGGATTCCGCTGACTGGCGGAACGGACGGGGGAGGGGGCGGGTACAGCTGGCTCTGCCTCTAGATAGGCAGAGCCAGCTGTCAGTCACACAGCTGGGCGGATCCAGACATAATTGTCGGGATCCGCTTCAGCTGCGGCGTCTCAGTATACCGCGAGCAGCAGCTCGTGTATATTCTGAGCCTAGGGTGACGGGAGGACGCTAGTTTGGGTCCTCCCGTTACCCTAAGGAGAACTATGGGGCTTTCGCCACCACACCCAGACTCCCTGCACTCAGTGTAGTGGACTAGGAGAGGAAAGGTGTAAAAAAAAAAAAAAAACTAGCTAAGATGAGCAGGGAGAAATATGTTAATTAGGGCTAGTTAAAGCATTTCTAAACCCAAAAACAAAAATGCAATATATTGAAGCTTACCAGTCTATAGCTGTGGTGGCAGGAGTGACTGCACCCTGTGTGCATTTCATACATCCCTGAACCTTGCAATCTGTATGTTACACACCCCCCTGTGCTCTTTGAATTACACACACCATGAGCCCTGCCCTCTGTGCATTATACACACCACTGACCCCTGCACTCTGTGCATTATACACAACACTGACCCCTGCACTCTGTGCATTATACACACCAATGACACCTGCACTCTGTGCATTATACACACCACTGACCCCTGCACTCTGTGCATTATACACACACCCTGACCTCTATACTCTTTGCATTATACACACCACTGCCCCTGCACTCTCTGCATTATACACACCACTGACCTCTGCACTCTGTGTGTTACACACAACCCGACCCCTGCACTCTGTGCATTATACACACCACTGACCCCTGTAATCTGTGTGTTATACACACCCTTGATGCCTGCACTCTGTGCATTATACACACCCTTGACCCCTGTAATCTGTGCATTATACACACCACTAAGCCCTGCACTCTGTGCATACACACACCCATGACTCCTGTAATCTGTGTGTTAGACACACCTTTGATGCCTGTTATCTGTGCATTATACACACCACTGACTCCTGTAATCTGTGCACAACACAAACCCCTGACCCAGTGGCATAACAATCACCAAAGCAACCCACGCGGTTGCTATGAGGCCCAGGGCAGAGGGGGGCCTGGCAGTGGCAGTGGTGGAGGAGGACCAGGGCCCAGCGGTAGCGGAGAAGGTAGAGGAGGCCGGGCCCGGTGGTGGAGTTGCAGGAGGCCGGGGCCCTTCGGTGGCAGTGGCAGCGGTGGCCCTGCTGAAGCAGGAGGCCAGAAGGTGGCGGTGGTAGCTGAGATGGCCGAGGAGGCCGGGGCCCGGTGGAGGAGGGCCCAGCAGGGGAAGCTCCGGCCTGACAGGAGCGCAGTGTGCACGGTAAGGGACCCCAACCAGCCCACCTTAGACCCTGCAGGGCCCACCACAGAGATTATATGGTGGGCTCTGCAGGGTCACTCTCAGGTGGACTGTGCGGAGTCTCAGATGGGCTATGCAAGCTCTCAGGAGGGCCAGGTGGGCTCTGCAGGGTCTCTGGTATGTTTGGGGTCTCTGGTGGGCTCTGTGGGGTCTATGGTGGGCTCTGAAGGGTCACTCTCAGGTGGGATGTGCAGGGTCTCTGGTATGTGCGGGTCTCATATGTGTGGGGTCTATGGTGTGGTGGGCTCTGCAGGATCTCAGGTGGGCACAGTGGGGTCTGTAGTGGGCTGCGCGGGGTTTTTGTTGGGCTTTGCAGGGTGTCAGAGGGGCTCTGCGGGGTCTGTAAGGGTCTATGGTGAGCTGTGTGGGGTGAGCAGTGAGCGGCGGAGTGATTTGTTCTTCAGCTCTGGTGTCAGAGCCAGCTGGAGCAGAGCTGAAGCAAAGTAGATGGTGCAGGAACAGGAACGTGTTCTGGAGGTAAGTACTTTATGCCCTGACCCCTGTACTCTATGTGTTACACACACACCTGCGTTACACACACCCCTGAACCCTACACTCTATGTATCACACACACACACACCTGACTCCAATCTATGTAGAGCCAAAGGAAATCTCACTGCTCCAATTCCTTAGCCACCATCAGTGTACAGTGCTGACATTTGTTGCTTTATACACTTTTATTCACTGTTATATTGGATTTGCTGTGAATTTCAATAAATTCTGCAGTATTGGAATTCTCTGGATAGTGCGGTCTGTTCGTATACTCCAGCAATCTATGTGTTACACATACCCCTAACCCCTGCACTGTATGCGTTGCACACACCCCTGACCCCTGCACTATATGTGGTGCACACACCCCTGACCCCTGCACTGCTTTACACACATCCTGACCCTGCATTTTTCTGCAGCTCCTCAGATCTCCCCAGCGGGGAGAAATGCAGCAACAAAAACATGGCAGAGGTTTTCGTCTTCCTGTACTCGATCCAAAACAAGCAGTACACGTTTTGGGTATACATAAACTTTAAATCAAAGCCCAATGTCTCATTTATGTTTTTATCTTACCTTTGATAAACTTTCTGGAAAGTTGTTGAAATCCAGTTGGAAAATATTTCCAATAAAAGGCAGAGGGAACGGTCCTGGAGGGTAGTGGTTTCGACCTCTGTTTTTTGCCCAATAAGCCACCAGAACAACAAAAGTAACTGCGAGTCCTAGAAGTGCCGAGTTCCATACAGACGGCATACTCACAAGCTGCATGCTTAGATATGATCTCTCGCCAGCTAACCTTTACCTTCTAAATACAAAAAATTATAATCACAGCTTACCCAGTGTGTGCTACTAAAGTCCTAACTCATACAGAAATGATCAGGTTTTATTTACAGACATCTTATCAGCAGGCCAGGGTAGAACGTTCACTCCTTCCTTGGCTGGATTTCAGGCCCTTCCCTTTTTCTAGTAACAATGAACATTTGGTATACAATACAGACTTTCCAGCTACTCTAAAGGGAACAGCTGAAATTCCTAAAAGTTTACAGCATCTCATCAAAAGGTTTAACACTTTTACTGCCAGAGCATTTTTTGCACATGTTAAAATCCACATTTTAGGCCTTAAAATTACAAAACTCCCCAGAATTGTATAGTTCCTGAAAGCACAGACCCTGTAAAAAAAATGTTGGCAGTTGTGAATTTGTACGTCTCATAATATTAGCACAACTCTTTATCAAACCCCACATCTCAGTGCAAATTACAATTTAATACCCACATTTTGTAAAATATAAATGATGAGGTTGAGCCGAGTAAACAAATACCCAACATGCCAAGCTTAAAAATTGTGTGCGCCTGTGAAATAGCGAAGAAATATGGTACTTTAAACTGTCCATAGGCAGCGCTTTAAAAGCCTGTACAGATCATCAGTGTAGAGTTAACTGTGAATATTTGACCTAGAATTATTGCTCTCACTCTGGCTCATGCAGCAATGCATAACATGTGAGGCTTCATTGTCATTTTCCTATGTAGGCGCATTTGATGCATGTTTGCATAAGTATGCACCTGTTCACTGGGATGGGGACTTTCAAAAAATGTTCTGTATAATTTTTACATTAATTTTAACTTTCTGAAAACTTTTTTTTAAAACTTAATTGCTATCACATACAAGGGCTCCCAAGCCCCCTATGTGATAGCACATTGGAGGTGACAAGTACTCTTTCATCACTTTCCGTCCGGCCTTTGTAATGAAACAGCCAGATGGGACATTCTTCTTTGGGTGTCCCCAGGAGATATTAGCAGGGTTAGTCACTAAGCTGCCGGAGGCAGCCGAGTGTATAACTGAACCGTAGTGAAGTGAGCCGAACAATGTTCGGCTATTCACTACGGTTCAGTATGGATGATTTCAGCCGTACATCGGCTGCCTTCGGAGCCGAAGAGCCGAAGTGCAGAGGGACTTCAACTCAGCCGATCCAACATCCTATGTGAATAGGGGCCAAACAGAAGTAAGGGAATAGCCGAATGCAGCTGAGCGGCATTCGGCTCAGCTATTCTGCTTGGCATCTCTGTGGTACTGAGCAAAATAGGAAATCAATAGGAAGCTAGGTTTGTGAATAGAACCGTAGGTGTCTTAAAGACCCCTGATGTCCCCATTAAAGAAGACCTGTCCCTGTATATTTGCTATCACATAGGGTATTCTTAGCCCCCCATGTGATAGCAATAAAGTTAAGTGTATAGTAAAAAAAAAAAGGATTAAAGTTACATTTGAAAAAAAAACCACACAAAAAAAGAACCCCACCCCCATGTACACACATGCAAACATGCGTCAGGTGCGAAAACGATGATTGCACCCATTGTGCAGCACATTTTACATATCACTGCGAATGTCAGAGCGTAAGCAATAATTGTAGGGCCATCAATCACTGTTAACACTAAATTGATGAGCAGTAAAAGCGTTTAAAGAGTCGCCTATGGCCAGTTTTGGGTATTGTAGTTTTTTGCAATTTTGCAGGCGCTCGTAATTTTAGGGCTTGACATGTTTGGTGTCTATTTACCCAACGTGACCCTGCCTTTTTTATTTTGCCCAAAAAATTGGGTAATAATAAAAATGTCAAAACAACGGGAAAACATTTTTTTATTTTAAAAATTGTTGGCACTTTTTTCTTTATATAGAAAAAAAAATAACCCCCCCTGGTGATTAAATACCACCAAAAGAAAGCTCTAGCTGTCCCCAAAAAATGGTATAACTTGACTTTTTTTTCGTTGTCCTCTCAGTCTGCTCTTTTGAAATGGCCCCCTCTGTCCTCTGTGTAGAGGCTGCTGTGCTCGTTGTAACCACAGCGTAGGGCGTGGAAAATTACATTTCTCACAAAGCTATGCTTCTCTGTGGAAACTCTTGAGCTCCCCTCTCAATTCATTAATATTCATAGTGGTAACAGCCCCTGGGCAATGCAAAATGACCTGTAGGTTTTGTTTGCACCTGTGACTGCAGTTGGAGCTAGTTCTGAGTAAGTTTCATTCCTGTGTGTCATTATGACTGTGGTAACAGTCTTACAGTCCCTGTCAGTATAATATATAGCTCTTTGTATTAAATATATATAAAGATAATAAAAGGGTTTATAAATACATATACAGTGCATTCAGAAAGTATTCAGACCCCCTTCACTTTTTTCAATTTTGTTATGTTGCATCCTGATACAGTTGTTTAAATTCTTTTTTTTCCTCATTAATCTACACTCAGTACCCCATAATGACAAAGTGAAAACAGAATTTTAGAAATGTTTGCAAATGTATGAAAAAGGAAAAACTGAAATCACATTGGCATAAGTAATCAGACCCTTTGCAACAACACTTGAAATGTAGCTCAGGTGCCTCCCATTTCTCTTGATCATTGCTGAGATGTTTTTACACCTTGATTGGAGTTCACCTGTGGTCATTTAAATTGATTGAGCATGATTTGAAAAGGCACACACCTCTCTATAGAAGGCCACACAGCTGATAGTGCATACGGTATCAAAGCAAAAGTCATGAGGTCAAAGGAACTGCTTGCAGAGCTCAGAGACAGGATTATTGCAAGGCACACATCTGGGAAAGGCTACAAAAAAATGTCTGCTGCACTGAAGGGACCCAAGAGCACAGTGGCCTCCATAATTCTCAAATGGAAGATGTTTGGCACAACCAGGACTCTTCCAAGAGCTGGTCACCTGGCTAAACTGAGCAATCAGGGAAGAAGGGCCTTATTAAGAGAGGTGACCAAGAACCCGATGGTCACGCTGACTGAGCTCCAGAGATCCTGTGTAGAGATGGGAGAAAGTTCCAGAAGGACAACTATCACTGTAGCCCTCCGCCAATCTGGCCTTTATGGCAGAGAGGATAGACAGAAGCCTCTCCTCAGTGCCAAACACATGAAAGCCAGCTTAGAGTTTGCAAAAAACACCTGAAGAACTCTCAGACTGTGAAGAACAAGATTCGCTGGAGAAACCTAGATTTACCCGTTATATTGCAAATGTTGGCAAATTAGGATTTTCCTAGTACTGTGCTTGTTTGCATTAGCAATTGATTTGGATGAATCACTCGGGAAAATAAATGAAGGGCAAACCAAACACAAATAAATTATTTGCAAGAGTTGGTGAAACAAGAATACCACACAATAAATAAACTGTCCAAATGTATACAAAAACAATATTAACATTGTCTATATACATACAGAAACACAGGTGTATATACATATGCCAATTTTGTTGTGTCAACCCTCTCAGAATCCATAAAAGACCACCCTTTATCCAGGCAGGCAACCTGAATGCCCAAGAGGGTGTAGGTGGGGTGGTGCAGCAAGAAGCAAGCTGAACCATATCAGACCACATACCGTACCCAACACTAGGACAAAATTCAACACCCCCCCCCCTTCTCCAATTAAATAACAGACAACATTGTGAAAGACTTTTATTAAAAATACAGACATATTCATTACTCAAAGACTGACAGAAAGTGTGAACTACAAACACATACATAATACCTATATATATTTTTCTTTTTAAAAAAGAGAGAATGAGAGCAAGCAAGAACGAGCGAGAGAACGTGTCAGAGAGACCAAGAGCGAGCAAGGGAACGAGAACACGTCAGAGAGAACGAGAGGCCGCGTCAGAGAGAGAGACTGAGAGAGAGACCAGGTCAGAGAGCCTGAGAGCGAGAGATAGAGAAGAGACTGCGAGCGAGAGCCTGAGAGTGCTTCAGAGAGAGTGAGAGCAAGAGACCGCGACAGAGAGCCCAAGAGTGAGCGGGCAAGCGTGTCAGAGAAAGAGCGAGACTGTGTCAGAGAGAGAACAAGAACGCATTAGAGAGAGCTAGAGAGACACCATGTCGGAGAGAGACTGCAAACACTTCAAAGAGAAAGCCAGAGAGAAAAAATGCGAGAGAGAGAGAGACCACATGAGAGAAAAAGACCACAGCAGAGAGAGAGGCCATATCAGAGAGAGACCATGGCAGAGAGAGAGACTGTGTCAGAGAGAGACCGTGGCAGACAGAGAGGCCGTATCAGAGAGAGACCGCGGCAGACAGAGAGGCCGTATCAGAGAGAGACTATGGCAGACAGAGATGCTGTATCAGGGAGAGACAATGGCAGACAGAGAGACCGTATCAGAGAGAGACTGTGGCAGACAGAGAGGCCGTATCAGAGAGAGAGACTGTGGTAGACAGAGAGGCCGTATCAGAGAGAGACTATGGTAGACAGACAGGCCGTATCAGAGAGAGACCGCGGCAGACAGAGAGGCCGTATCAGAGAGAGACTATGGCAGACAGAGATGCCGTATCAGGGAGAGACAATGGCAGACAGAGAGACCGTATCAGAGAGAGACTGTGGCAGACAGAGAGGCCGTATCAGAGAGAGAGACAAGAAAGACTGGGGGAGAGAGAGAGGCCGTATGAGAGAGAGAGACTGGGGTAGACAGAGAGGCCGTATCAGAGAGAGACTGTGGTAGACAGACAGGCCGTATCAGAGAGAGACCGCGGCAGACAGAGAGGCCGTATCAGAGAGAGACTATGGCAGACAGAGATGCCGTATCAGGGAGAGACAATGGCAGACAGAGAGACCGTATCAGAGAGAGACTGTGGCAGACAGAGAGGCCGTATCAGAGAGAGAGACTGTGGTAGACAGAGAGGCCGTATCAGAGAGAGACTATGACAGACAGAGAGGCCATATCAGAGAGAGACTGTGGCAGACAGAGAGGCCGTATCAGAGAGAGACTGTGGCAGACAGAGAGGCCGTATCAGAGAGAGACTGTGGTAG